GGAGTTTTCACAGGCGATGGCTTCTAATCACCACCGAAATAATCGCCAGCCTTCCAGCCGAACCTGTGATGACTGGTAAAAAGGTACAGCTATCTCTGCAACATGCCGAGGAGGTCTATGGGGTTTTGAGACAAGGATCCCGCATTGTAAGGCAATCGGCTCACATATGGCGAAGTTGTCAGTCTTAAGTGACGGCCGCCCTTTATCCCCAGGAATATTCCTTCTACTCATTTCTGTTTGAGGCTGAGTCGACCCCAGGGCCATTTGCAGCTGGAAGGATTAGGTCAACTGAAAAATCCAGTGATCTCATCGGGAATCGAAACCGCCAACTTCCGGCTTGTGGCGTAGTACCTCAACCAACTACGCTAATGCGTGCTGAGATGCATCACTTTCACATTCCAGTTGCACTGTAGCCTTCCTCGATTAGCAGATCTTTGTGTTTCAGCATTTTTTCAACTTCTTATCAGTCCGTATAGAAGTGTCAGTCAGTATACACCTTTGTATTCTGTGCCGACGTATCGTGCCAGGCTTGTTCCACGGCGATGTTCTGTCTGTCTGTCCCCAGGGTATAGTGCCTTGATTATCCATTCATTTTATTATTATCATCATGGCTGTCCAGGTGGCACCAATTAAATCGTTATTTTCTAGAGAACATATGTTACATAGTTTGTCTATATTTTTGTAAACGTGTTTGTTTTTATGCCATTATATTAACATTGGCCTTTGGGAAGGGCCGCGCCATAGCTCAAGCGGTTAGTCGCTGGCTTCCCATCGCAGTGGCCCGGGTTCGATCCCGGGTCTGGTCAAGTGGGATTTGTGGTCGACATAGTGGCGCTGGGGCAGGTTTTCTCCGAGTACTTCGGTTTCCCCAGCCAATCTTCATTCCATCAATTGCTCCACAGTCACCCTCACCTATCATATGGGGCTGGTACAATAGGCCAGAAGTGGCCGCAGTACACGGGACTTAGTCCCACCCCACTAGCAATAAAAAAAAGACCAAGGATAACTTTATTGTTGTTGTTTTTCTGCCGCTATTGTTGTTAGTGTTGTTCCTGCTGTTGCAGCTCCACCATTCTTGATGGAGGTGAGTGCCCAGCTTCACGTCCTTGCCACTTCACATTCGCGGAAAGAGCTCCTGGTATCCATGAGACAAGGCTGGGTGGGCCCCAAAGCCGGTCTGGATGCTGTGGAGTGGAAAAACATTTTGCCGCTCCCACTGCTGCAGTCCAACCATTTCGGTGTTGTTATTATTAGTATCACTATTGTCGAACACAGTGACCGCGCGTTCTAATGCATGAACTGTCTTCCCCCGCTCGAACTCTGGGATCGTGTGTTCGAATCTGTCTCGAGGCATGGATGTCTGTGCGCGTTTATTCTGTTTTTTGTATTGTCGTGTGTGTAGGTAGAGGGCTTGGGGGTTGGGGTGATCCTGCTCCAAAACACCCTCCCGACTGTCTATATGATTATGAAATTATAAAACAGAGGACATTGTTTGTCATGGACTATAGCGCCCACAGATTTATTAATATCATCATCTCAACCCGAGCGCTGTCATCATCATACCTATCATGAAGAACTGCGCCGGTGAACAACATGTTGAACAACAGTGGGCTCCGTCCCGGTTTCAACATGACTGGCCACAAGTTGAGTAACACGGGATAGCAGCCTCGCAGTCTGTTTGCTTCGCTATGTTTTTCTGCAGGAAACCCAACTTGTTGTTCAGTTGCGGCTGATTCATTGTTCTGTGTGACGAAAACTGGTTTCCTGCCTGACTCAGTGCCGATTTAAAATGATTCTACTACCTCGAGAGTTTCTCGATAGAAATCGTGACTCACAATGCGTAACATCTGAGGTGGAGAATCACGTTGCGGCTCTTGTCTTCTAATCTGAAGACAGAGGTAGTATGTTCGTTGGTTATCACTTAGAAGACTACGCGATGTCATTAACTCAAATGCCCACAGTATGAACATTTATCTTCCACTCTGAAAATATGGAGACGGGATAGATCAGTCGGCATATGGACTATGCTACGGGCTGGACGGCCGAGGAATTGGGGTTTGATCCCCGGTAGTGGTAAGAGATTTCTGTCTTCTCCGCAGCATCCATGGGGGCACGCGGTAGCGTAGTTGTTTGATGAACTAGGCTACAAGCCGGAATGTTGCGGGTTCGAGTCCTGATGAGGTGGATTTTTTTTTTTTTCAATTTACCTAATCCTTCTAGCAGCATTATGGGCCTGGGGTCGACTCAGCCTATAACAAAAATGAGTACCAGGAATCTTCCTGGGTGGTAAAGGGAAGCCGGCGCGTAAGGCTGACAAACTTACCGCCATCTGTGAGCCGACTATTTAGAGAAAATATGGGAGCCTCAACGTCTCACAAATATACTATGGGTCTTCACAGCCTGTTCCAGGGATATATTTACCTGATAGCAGCGTCCATACATTCTCTGGGACTCACCCAGCGTCCTATGGAATGGGTACCGGTAGTTCATTCCCGGGGGTAAACCTGTAGGAGCGTGAAGCAGACTACTCACCTTCATCTAGTGCCGAGGTTAAGAATGGTGAAGCTACATCTCGTCTCCCCTCATAAGTTTCCATGCCGTGGTTCTTAAGTAAGTCCAGGGAAACGTTTACTTTTACTTTTCACCGAAAATGGAGACAGTACGTTCATCCGGAACATTGATAAACACTTACCAGACTACATGGCGTCATAGCCCAGAATATCACACTTTATATTTCATAATGATTTCACGCCACACTGCTTAGTAGCGTACGTCTCAATATGTGAATGTGAAGTTGACCCCTGTGTCTAAGCATTACTTTATGAACATGTTTAAGGGACTTGGAAGTAGAGCTCCACATATTCCGAAACTTAAAACTGGATACAGATCAATGGATATCTTCACGTTCCAGTCGCTTTAACCCTTTAAATAGAGTCTCCTCTACCCACTGAATAGAAGACATCATTATGAAGGCTAGGTTAGATTGTCGCCAGCAACAGGAATTTGTCTCCTCTTAACAGCGTCCAGACCGGCACTGGGACTCACCCTTCCTCCTGTGCGATGGGCGCCGGAGATACTTTCTCCGCAGTCAGGGCGTGAAGCTGACCATTCGCCTCAGTGTAGAGCGGAGGTTAGGAATGAGAGGCGCCAATAAAGCTTCGCGCAGTGCCCTTCCAGTCTCGGTCATGGCACGCACTATCATGTCAAGACTATCCTTGTCCTTCCAGACAAACTCCGGGATAGTGCCTTAAATTAGGTCACGACCTCTTCTTCTTGGGGCACGCGGTAGCGTAGTTGGTTGAGGCAGAAGGTCGCAGTTTCAGTTACCGATGAGGTCATTGGATTTTTTAATCGGCGTAATCGTGCCAGCCTATGGACCTGGGGTCTACACAGCTTCTAGCAGAAATGAGTAGCAAGAATATTCCTAGGGGGTAAAGGGAGTCTAGCGCGTAAATCTGACAACCTCGCCTTCATCTGTGAGCCGATTAGGGTTCCCAGATACCCCATTTTCCCCGGATTCTTCCGTTTTTTCACCCAAATTTTGTTCCCCCGTTTATTGTTTACCTGGAGTGGATAATTCTCCGTTTTTTATTTAAGTCCATTGCAAATTATATTTCATGGGTTAAATGTTATCATAAAATTTCTGTAATCCTTGGAAAATGACATTGTTATAGTTTCTTTCGTTATCTTGCATTTCGTGAATGTTGGCAACATTTGAGGTTCTAAACCAAAGCAGAATATTTTGTGCATTCTATAAATATGTAATAGGGCTACGTAATATTTGTTTTGTTCTATAAATGTGTAGTTGGCCTATGTAATACAGATGTGTAGTAGCATTTTGTAAGTTATGTAGTATGTTGATTATGTATATTTTATAGCCTATTAGTTGTGAAAAATGTCGTTATAAACAAGCAACGAGATATCACTTCTTTTTTTTTTTATTTTACAAAATCTGGCAACCCTAGAGCCGATTGTCTAGAAAATGTGGGAACCTCGACGTCTCACAACCCTATAGGCCTCCACGTGCTTTTGCAGGGATAGCTTTAACTTACCTTGCTTTTACCGCTTCCTCTTAAATGTATTTATATGCATTATCCACTAGTCCTACCAGTCGACGCCATATTGTCTCAACTACTGACAGCGTCGCTAAATAGAACATCAATAAATACTCCAGAAAGTATGGACAGTTACATTTTATTTCATCATAGCCCTGCGAGCCGAAGGAGGCGCTGATAAGGGAACACAGTTCCTGGGGTTATAACTGGGCTATCCTGTTTTGTGAAATATAAATATGAAAATCTGGCTCTCCAGGTAAGGGGAGTCTCGAATCTGAGGCAGCTAAATATGGTCATGTATCCCGTGGGACTCGGATCTGAGAATGACTGTGCTGGTGAGGACCACTTGAGGATGGTCCTCACCAGCACAGTCATTCTCGGATCCGTTCTTTTGTCAGAAAGGACGATACGCATGAACAAAACCGCAACTGTCTGACGGTAATAAAATGTTGGTCTTGGATCCCGGATGAGAGCTTGACATCAAGACAAACTGACCGATTGACGGTCGGTCGTAATATGCCTTTGAATTTGACTTGAGTTGCTGTTGAGTAAGTCGAGATTTGCAGTTGTGAGAAGTGAGAAGCTGGTAACTGATGCCGGGTAAAATTCGGGAACCCGGAGGAAAGTCAACGTTTGCTGTTAGAAGCCGCTACTAAGCAACTGCTAGTGAAGAGTGAGAAGGTTTTGTATGTACTGTGGAGTGTCTAACTCAGTGAGTCTGTGGAAGTCTTTTGTAGTTATGAATGGGAGGGTCCTTTAGATCAAGCAATCAGTCGAAAACCTCTTCTCTAGTCAGACTCGATCACGTGGAAATATGTTTTATCTTTACACCCTTCCCCTATGCATTAATTTTGTGGTTTCGACATAAAAGAAATTTTTTGTCTGTTTCAAGCAAAATAATGAAAGTACTTAATTCATTATCTACGAAATAGTCACATGACTTACCATGCATTTGGATTCTTCGCGTAGTTTTCTGCAAGAATTGCTGCTCCCACGCGCATGCGTAGATCATTGTCTAATACATTTGACAGGTAGCCTGAAACATAATAATTTAATTTTAACCAGTAAGTCTGTACGGATCAAGTTCCCCTTACATAGCTTACAGTAGATCAGCAAGTTAACAAACTCCCTGCCTTTTATAGAACGCGAAGGTTCGTTGCTGTATCCACAAGAGCTCGCCACTGTATCTATCCTGATTCAATTGATTTTGGCCCACCTTCTCATACACAGATTTTTTAGATCCAATTTAATATTATCCTTCCATCTACTCCAAAGTTGGTAAAGTTATCCCTGTAACAAGCCGTAGAGGCCCATAAGGTTATAAGACGTCAAGACTCCAGCATTTTCAAGACACTCGGCTCACAGATATCGGTGAGATTGTCAGCCTTGCGCGCCGGCCGGCCGTCCGCCATTTACACCCAGCAAAATTCCTGATATTCATTTGTGTTAGACACTCAGTCGACCTCAGGACCATAATGCAGCTGAAAGGATTAGCTAAATTGAAAAATCCAGCGACCTCATCGGGAATCGAACCCGCGACCTACCGGGTGTAGCACAGTGACTCAACCAAGTACGCTACCGTGTGCCTCTTGTATACTAGAACTTGTATTTCTCGGAAATTTTCCATTCCTCTCAGGTTTTCCCACCAAAATTATACTTATATTTCTCATTTCCCTTTTCTTGTATGGTCACAGGAAACAGATAAGAACCGACAGAAAGAAATATATAACATAAGTACTACATAAAGATGGGGGCACGCGGTAGCATAGTTGGTTGAGGCTCTATGCTACAAGCCGGAAGGTCGCGAGTTCAAGTCCCGATGAGGTCTTTGAATTTTTTTCAGTTGACCTAATCCTTCCAACCACACTATGGTCCTGGGGTCTACTCAGCCTCTAACAGAAATGAGCACGAGAAATTATTTAAATAATTTTCCTGGGGAGTAAAGCGCAGCCGGTGCATAAGGCTGACAACCTTACCACCATCTTTGAGCCGATTGTCTGGAGTCTAGACAATGTGGGAACCTCAACGTCTCACAACCCTATGGGACTTCACGACCTGGTACAGGGATACCTTTATTTTATTTGTACTACATACAGATATAAGTTTCCTTCCTTCTCTTTCATACCGCATACCTAACAGAAAATGCCCAATGTAATTACGAAATTCACTCCGTGGTCTTGTGTCCACTTACAGTGACTACGGCTATTACCTGTTACGTTCAGCTGCAAGTCTGCAAGCTGCTTCCTCCTTTGCGCGTCTGCATCCGTTCCTGAAGTTCGGCCCATTACCGTCACAAGGGCCGTGGCGCTTAAAACACTGCAACACACAAAACATTACATCAGAGCGGGTTGCGGCAAATGTTCCCTATCCCGAAGAGTAGCCTTTTTTATCTCTATAAGGAAATCTTTTACGACGCTGTTAGTATCAAACATATTGTGACATGTCAACCGTTGCTGGGCAACGGGAGGTGGAACGAGTTACCACGAAGGTAGACCTTTGATAAACGGTCGGTTGCCAAGTTACGCAACAGTAAGAAAAGCGGTGTTTCTCTGTACCGTGCCGAGTAGAGCCGAAGTGAGTCTAGCCCAGCCGAAGCGCGCTGGTTGCTAAGCAGCAATAAACAACTCTCGGTAGCGTTGCCCAGCAACGCCTGTAAACACGGGATTTACGCAGCAGTGAAGCGACGTGGGTTTTCCGCTGTCCGACTGAGGCTTTATAAGGGAGACTGAAATGCGTAGCCTGGACTGACGGAGGCCGTGTAACTATTGTACATTTATATAAGTATGTATTGCAAATATGTGTAAATACAGACAATGGACAAATTACTACAGACTGACTAACAAATGACAGACCCGACCTCTCGTCAGAGAGGGCGCTACACATGGACAGGACAGTAACTTTCATACAAAAGAAATATCTGGTCATGAGCCCCAGCTGGGGCTCGACACCAAGACAGACAGACTGACTGACCGTCAGTGGTAACGTGACTCTGACTCTGACTCTGACTGTAGAGAGTTAAGAGTTAAATGTAGCAGTCGCCGAGTTCAGTTGTAGCGAGTGAATCGTGAAGACCAGAACGTGTGATTAGAGGCGATAGTGTGAAAAGATATTGGGAGTGTAATACAGTGACACTGGTATAGCTCCCGTATTGTACTGAGAATAAGTGAAGACTATTGAAGATAGAGTGAACAGATTATTATGTGGGGTTTATAAATTGAGTAAAACCGCAACTGTGTTATAATTAATTGTAGTTACGGTTTGTAGGTTGTTAAATAAACTAATTAACAATCCGAACTGTGTCTTCAGTAGCAAAACACGTTAAAATATATAGCGTCTTTTGAGCCGGGGGTGGTTAATTAAGCCCAAGGACATCTTTATCTTTTATTTTCACTAGATGTTGGTGAGTGGCCAGCTTCACGCCCCGGCTGATTTAAGGCACAGGAAAGGGCCCCAGTACGCACTGTAAAAGAGGTTTAGTGGGCCCTAGAACAGTTCTAGATGAGCTGGAGTAGACAGGAATATTTAGCTTGCCGGGAATGGAACTCCGATTCCCCGGACGGATTGGAAATTTTTAAGGCTCTAGGCTTGTATTCGGGAACTCCTCGGTTCGCAATCTCCGACAGATCAATTGGTATCCTCACTGAGATATTTCGTGATTTTCCACAGTCCCTCCAGTAAAATGCCGGAATAATGCCAAAATTACCGCTTCCTTCTAAATCTCTCCCAATTCATCATACATCAATCGCCTTCTGCTATTAGAAGCTATATATCCTAGCTACTGACAGCGTCCTAAAGCCTCTGTGATCTAGTGGTCAGAGTTCCTGGCTACAAATCCTGAGGTCCCGGGTTCGATTTCAGGCGCTACCATATTTTCTGAGAATAGTGGGTCTGGAACGGTGTCCACTGTGCCTCGTGAGGATAATTGAGGATCTATAAAATCGAAATTAATGTCCGTAGGGATTCGTTGCACTGACTACGCGACACTCTCTATCCGCTGAAGTTGGCACTAACTTCCCCAAGAAGCGGCGGTCGCTCGGTCGGTATAGTTCGCTTACGGACTAAAACCACTGAGTTTGTTTGTCCTAAAGTAACTTACAAACAAGAACTCGCATTGACGGAGCTGGGCACAAAAGGTGAATTTATACCAAATATATTTTTCAGACGGTATTAAGCCTTAAAGACAGAAGTCTCACCCTGTGTCATGCACTGCAGTCCCTTAAATATGACGTAAAAGTAGAAACAAAGATGTAATAATAATTCAATTCAATTCTTTATTATTATTTATGTGCTGAGTCAACAGCCGCAAGGCCAATTACAGACAGAGCACAATGTAGATATAGGTAATTACATTATGGACAATCACAACAAATTACAGGCAAGCATGGAGTAAAAACACATTAATGCAGACAAGTAAACAAGCTAATAATAATAATAATAATAATAATAATAATAATAATAATAATAATAATAATAAGCTGTCTGCTACTAAATATCCCAGTTTTCTGTTAGCCTAGCAGTAATGTAGTCACTAATCCACCCGAGCTATCCCGGTTCTCTATCAAGGCCAATGTCGTACACAGAAGCACAGATTGAGTTCAGCTTTCGGCCGCCGTTCATTTCAGAAACTTGTCTAGAAAGTCTGTCTTTCCAGACCCAGTGCAGCAACATGTGATCGCCGCATTGTTCTACATATGGCTTGATATTGCTCCAGATTATGAGAGCGACTTTGATCAAGACAGGAGAAGCTTCGTGCCTGCTATACCGGGTGCCCACAAAGTATGTTCGGCGTTTGGAAACATGACGGAACCTCAGTTAGCAGATGATTTGGAAACGCAGCGCAGTTCATATACGTTTCTGGCCAGGAGAGCAGCAGATCCAACTTGCCAACGCGAGGTCATTAATAGCAGATCAAAATCAGAGAATGCCTGCTATTTTCTACAAGGAGTTCAGAATCTTTTGTTTTCCCGTCTTGTAATTAAATGTGTAAAAAAAGGTAAACTATCCCTATAACAGGCCATGGGGGTCCATAAGGTTGTGAGACGTTGAGGCTCCCATGTTTTCTAGACAGTTGTGTGGCAGATGGCGGTGAGGTTGTCAGTCTTACGCGCCGGCCGTCCTTTACCCCCAGGAAGATTCCTGGTACTCATTTCTGTTAGAGGCTGAGTCGACCCCAGGGCCATAGTGAGGCTGTAGGTATCAGGCAAATTACTTACTTATTCATGGAGCTCAGCCCTTCTTGAGGAGTCGCCAATTCTGCAGCTACTCAAGAATTTCCCAGCATTTTATGAAACCTGAGGGTTCATCACCGTGTTCACAAGAGCCCTCCACTGGTCGCTATCTTGAGCAAGATCTATCCAATCCATACCATCCAGTCCTATCTCTCTAAGATCCATTTTAATATTGTCCGCCCAACTACGCCTTGGTCTTCCCTGTAGTCTCTTTCCTTCTGGCTTTCCCACCAATATCCTATACGCATTCCTCGTCTCACCTATTCGTGCTACATGACCTGCCAACCTCGTCCTCCTTCACTTGATCATTCTAATTACACTTGGAGAAGAGTACGAGTTATGAAGCTTCTCATTATGCAGTTTTCTCCAACCTCCTGTGACTTCATCTCTCTTTGGTCCAAATATTCTCCTCAAACACCCTCAGTCTATGTTCCTCCCTTAATGTCAGAGACCAAGTTTTACACCCATACAGAACCACAATCAGGCAAATTCATATATATCCAATGAAATCCTCGGCATAAATATACAAATTAATGAGCTGAACTATACTTTTACCTCCCTTTTATGGGTTCTAAACTTGGTCCCTTATATTAGAGGAAGAACATAGACTGAGGATGCTTGAGAACAGGGAGCTGAGATGAATATTTGAACCTAACTAGGAGGAAGTATCGAGTAGCCACAGCTTGAAAATTTTTACAACTCTCCAAATACAATGATAAAATCATGAGGACGAAATGGGCAGGACATGTAACACAAGTGAGAAAAAGAATGCACCTGGTGTTTTGATAGTAATGTATGAAGGGAAGAGGCCGTTAGATAGATCTAGACGCAGATGGTAGAATAATATTAATATTAAAGAAATAAAATGGTACAGCGTGGACTGGATACATCTGGCTGAAGATAGGGACCAGTGGTGGATTTTGTGAGCACGGTAATGAAGCTTTTGTTTCCATAAAGTGTTTATATTATCTCGAGTAACCTAAAAACTATTTCAGCTCCTCAGGAAGGACGCTGCTGCATTTATTTAAGTATTCTTCTTGCCATTCCTTCCTCTAGCATTTATGGTTTTCTCTATTTCTCTCTTTACTATGTCTCTAATCATTTATTCACTCCAACGTCCACAGGCCTCTCAGGAACATGAACAAACGGTGCTAAGCAGCTTTCTCCACGGTATTTACATAATATTCCATGGAGAGTCCTAGGTGAAGGTTAGGTTCAGTGTTAATGCGTGAAAGTTGGTACGCGTGCAGGTATCTCCTGGGAAGTGTTTCGTCACCTTTACGGTGTCTGAGATATCTGCCCTGTTGTCAGGTTAATTCTTACAGTCGAATTAAATCATGATGTCCCATTGGGCCCAGTCAGTACGTTCATTGCTCAAGCCACAAAATAAAAGAGAATTATTTTCATACACAAGGCATCAGGGGGAAGTCTTCTATTTTTCTTAATTTTGTCTCTTCTGTTCCTTCTCTTTGTAGCATATTTTCCTTATTTTGAAAAAAAAATTAAAATGGCTTATGAGGTCATCATGCTGTCTGTCTAATTTTTTAGGATGCTTACGACATGAAAATTCTGTCTGCATATCTTTATATCCTCCAAATTTTTTTGGTTTTCTGTATGGTCCGTGTTGTATCAAAGGAAATTAGGCTATTAGTTATTCTCACAAGTTATTTTATTTTTATAATTGTTGCCCACATCTCAATTTTCCGTTTCTCCTGCTCCACCTTCCTATCTTGTAGAGTCTTCTCTCTCCTCTCCGTTTTCTACTCTTCCTACTCGTTTATCTCCTCTTACCCAGCATTGTCTTCTCTTGTTCAGTTTTTTCCTTTTCTTTTCTTTTTTCCCTTTCTTTTCCTTTATTTCCTTTTCTTTACTTCCACATTGTCCTGACAATCACAATATTGCCCTGAGAATCTACAAGGGAACAGGGCAAGTCATGTTTATCAGCCTGTGAAATTTCTTAACTTAGTCCATGGAGCTGAGCCCTTCTTGAGAAGCCGCCAGTTGTGCAGCTACTCAAGAACTTCCCAGCTTGTTATGGAACCCGAAGGTTCATTACCTACCATGTTCACATGAGCCCTCCACTGGTCC